TTTTTTTGTAGACAATAATGTCCTACAGGATAACATGTGATATGAAATGACAAGAAATGCTTAATGTTTTAACCAGAAAATATTTTTACTTACTTAGTTATACCCACAAAACCAAATTCAGTCGGCTAAAAGGTCTATAAATTCTCACCTTACTCATACTTGAAAAATCCTTTAATTATTACTACAGTAATAAACTTTGGGGATATTTTCTTCATTTATAACAAGCTCCTTCCTCTGCAAACTGTCCCTCTACCCAATCCATGTGTGTGTTCCTAGCAGCCTCCTGCACTACTTACCCCACCCCATCCTGGCTACAGACAGCTGGAAGAGAGATTCATACGTAATCTAAATCGGGATAATCACACTTTAAAATTCCCAGTTGGGACTAAGAGATAATCAGTCAGCATATAACTCCAGTCATAACTAAAACTTCAGAATGATGAGGCAGCCCACGTACACCACATGGACTAGAGGAGCAGAGAAAGCTCATCTGTGAAGAGGAAGTTGTATTAAGCAGCAACACTCAGAAACAAAGAGTCAAGGTGGTGAAAAGCAATTTCTGACAACTTCCCAGTTCCTTTATCCAGTCCCTTCCTAAAATCCAGCTGTATTCTTTGACGTGGGTATCCGTAAAACACCTTTACATCCTCGTAACAAAGTTCCCTTTTTGGCTTCAGCTAATCAAGCTGATTTCTGTTACCTGCAATCAACGTGTCACCAACTAATATAACTAACAGCCTAAGGTCTCTCACTGTTTTGGTCAGCAAGGACAAATGTGTTTACACAGAGTCTCCGTGAGTCAGGGCTGGCTAAGTCAGGGGACAGGTGCATTCTGAAATCAGCAGCCCACAGCACACCGTCAGTCACCAGGCATCTTACCATGTTATTGAGTCGGTCATCGACCATCTCGTTGCTCCAGCTTGCTAAGTCCGGATCATTCATGCCTTCCTCAAACGGATCTCCTCCTGTAGCCATACTGGCTTTTTCAATAACTGATTTTCTGCAAAACAAGTAAAAACTAAGCCTCTTAACACACAAAAAAAAACAAAGTTCAATTTTTAAGTCTTTCCGTGAAGCTTAACAATATAAAGGAATCTCTTAAAGCTGATTTTATGAGCTAAAAAGCAGCAGCATCAACCACTCATCACAGTCTAACGGATACCACCGCTGTAGGCACATTACACTCCCGTGAGCCTGCAACACTGAGGCCTAAACCAAACTGGATTACTGACTTGCTCAAAGTAACAGCAGAAGAGTTTAAAAATACCTTTGGGCACAGGACCTCAAATAAAGCAAAATGAAGTTGCCAGAGTGATAGAGCAGGGAAGGAAAACCTCACTGTGTGCACTGGCCCGTATGCTGTTAAGGTCATTTTATTTAATTCATGCAACACAGCCCTAAAAGGTGGAGTAATGAGGTAGGAAAGAAAGTTATTAACAGCTAAACAACTTCTCTTGGGGATAAAGGTGATATTCCAATGACGAAGGCATTACTTTTGTGCCAAAATTCGAAGAGGATAAAACTGCTCTGCATGAAATAAAAAGTCCTGATTTAACAGGAAGAAAGGTATATGAGAATGGTAAGCCAGATGAAGAGAAGGC